GTAGAGTTTGAGGTCAGCCTGGGCTACATAGGTCAAGGCCAGCCTGAGCTACATAGCATTAAAAAAATGAGCCAAAGACCTGAATAACCACTTGCTCAAAATGGATAATAAACGCAGTGAAAAGGCGCGCAACATCATTAGCTGTTAGAGAAATGCAAATTAAAACAATTGAGACATACTATCACAGAGGTTAAAATAAAAAATTAACCATGCCACATGTCTGCTGGGGCATGGAAAATTTCTTTTGGCCTTAAACTCACAGCAATCCTCCTGCCTCGGCCTCCTGAGTGATAGAATTACAGGTGTGCACCACCACGCCTGTCTGCAGGTCATGGAGATACACAAACTTTCATTTGGTATTATTAGGGATCTGGTATGACTATTTTGTGAAAATGTTTGACAGTTTCAACTGGGCAGTGTAGCACCCAACTGGAGTTTCTGCTACTCAGGAGGCTGAGGCAGGAAAAGCACTGGAACCTAGGAGTTAAGGAAACATGTAAGAGCCTCATTAAAAAAAAATAGGCTGGATGTGGTGGCACACCCTGCAATCTAAGCACTTGGGAGGCTGAGGCAGGAGGATTGTCTAGAGTTTGAGGCCAGCCTGAAAGACACAGCAAGATTCTGCCTCAAAAAAACCCAAACAAACACAGGCCAGGGATTTAGCTCAGTGGTTCCGGCACCTGCCTTGCAAGCGCAAGGTCCTGAGTTCGATCCTTAGTATCAAAAAAAAAAAAAAAAAACCAAACAAGGGGCTGGGGATTTAGCTCAGTGGTTTCACCGCCTGCTGCACAAATGCAAGGATCAAGTTCGATCCCCAGTACCAAAACAAACCCCAAACAAATCAAAAATAAATAAATAAAATAAACTGGCCAGGTGTGGTGGCACATGCCTATAATCCCAGCTACTCAAGAGGCTGAGGCAGGAGGAACAGAAGTTTGAGCCTAGCCTGGGCAGCTCAGACTGTGTCTCAAAATAAAAAAGGGCTGGGGATGTATAGCTCAGCATATAGGCCCTGGATTCAATCCACAGTATGATACAAATAATAAATTTTTTTTTTTTTTTGTACTGGGGATCGAACTCGGGACCTTGTGCTTTCGAGGCAGGCACTGGAACCACTGAGCTAAATCCCTGGGCCAATAATACATTTTTTATTGTTTTTTTTTTTTTTTTGGTGCCAGGGATCAAACTTGTGACCTTGCACCTGTAAGGAAGGCGCCAGAACCACTGAGCTAAATCCCTGGTCCCCAATAACAAATTTTTTAAGAAGAAAAGGCCAGGTAATATACTATAACTGGGGCTAAGGGACCATTCACCTCCATCTGAATTTGGACAATGCCCAGAACCCCCCCTTTTGTCCTACCTGGAGACAGAGATAAGAAAAACAAAGACCCCTGAGCCCTCCTTGGAAAATTCTTAAGTACCAAACCCGGACACATGTGTGCCAGACTCTCCAGCATGACCTTAGTAACCTTTCTTCACCTGGAGCTTACTGAAGGCTCACACACACGGACCGAACCTCCTGCATCCCATGACACCAGAATGAATCATGCTCTGAAGACCCAACGAGAGGCGCCCTGAACCTGGCACCACATTTAAATTATCTGAAAGCCTTCAGCATTCCTGCCATTTCCCTTTCTGCAGGGCCAGTCAATTTACTCTGTTTGCACTGTCGCCTGATTAAACTGCCGATTTTTTACCATCACATGTCATGTCCAATTCTTTGCTGCATACAAGAACCTACAAAACTCATCCTGGACCCCATCACCAAGGGCAATGTTGGAGTCACAGTATGAGGCCCTGGGTTCAATCCCCAGCACCCCAAATACCCCAACAGTTTGGGAGCTTCATAAAAATGTAGAGCCAGGCCAGGGATTTAGCTCAGTGGCACCCTGGCTGCCTTGCAAGCACATGGTGCTGAGTTCAATCCCGGGTACAGGAGGGAGATGTAGGGCCAGGCGTGGTGGTCCACTCCTGTAACCCCAGCACTGAGGAGGCTGAGGCAGGAGGATGGCTGGGAGTTTGAGGTCAGCCTGGGCTACACAGCAAGACCCTGTCTTGGAAAAAAAAAAAGTAACATACACCTGCCATATGACCCAGCCATTCCACTCCTAGCAATTACTTCAAGAAAATGAAAACACGTGTCCACACAAAGACCTGTGCAGGTAAGTTCAAGCAGCTTTATTTGGAATTTCTCCAAACTGGAGACAACCGGCCTTCCCATCAATGGGTAAATGGCAAAACAAACTGTGTGACACCTGTACAACAGGCCACTGGCCCCCCAGAAAATGGAATGAGCTGTCAATAAACACGGCGACACAGATAACTTTTTTTTCTGGTACCGGGGATCAAACTCAGGTCCTTGTGTTTGCGAGGCAGGTGGCAGAACCACTGAGCTACATCCCCGGCCTGACATGCATTACTCTTTTTTTTGGTACCGGGGATCGAACTCAGATCCTTGGGCTTGTGAGGCGGGCGCTGGAACCACTGAGCTAAATCCCCAGCCCCATAACTCTTGAAATAATTATGCTGCAAGCAGCCACCGGAAGCCACGCCAGCCAGAAAACAGTATTCTAAATTATGGTTATATAAAATTCTAGAAAATGCAAGCTATAGTGGAGAACACTTCTGAAGGTGATAGCTGTATTATCTTTTTTTTTTTTTTTTTTTTTTTTTGCATTATCTTGATTCTGGAGATCACCTGACAAATTATCAAAACATCTCAAGCTGAACCTTACATGTAGATACACATACCCTCTGGTGTCAGTCATTCGGCAGCAGAACTGATAAAACAGTTCTTGAGAGATGGCACCACTGCCTGGCTCTGCCAGCAAGGCAAGCTCCGGAGCAGAGTGGGTCTGACCCTCCTGGGCTTGCAGAGGGCAGATTTCGAAGGAGGTCCAGGGCAGGCCCTGAGGTCAGGAACACTACGCCCAGTGAAGTGAGTCAATCAGGTAGGCCTGGCAAGGTGGGAGACTTCACCTCCTTTTGCTGCTGCTGTCCCAGCGCAGCACGTCCTTTAAACATCCCCAATCCTTCCAGCCTCTGGCTCTGGCCCAGATCAGTGCGCTGGGTCTCCCTACAGTTCAAACGGTTCAGGTCTGAGCAACACTGTGGTGTCTTCCCCAAGCACTGCGTCTCAATTAGCTCCTACCACACCGGGTCCCAAGTTGTTTTCTGTATTTCCCTGTTTCTTCTTCACTGCATGGATCACAACCAGAGACTCCTGTCTACTTACACGATCCTTTCCTTTTTGCTGCCTTTTCTCCCTGCCCCGTGCTGTTGGTGCCGCATGCTAATCCCTACCGTTACTCCTGGCGATGCACCCATCCCTGGAGCCCAAGTGTGCTGCCACCTCACCGCTGTCCCGCCAGCACCTGACCAGGACATGGGGAGCGCAGGGGAGGCTACCAGGGACCTCTGTCCTTAGGAGGCTGAACTGTGACGCAGCTTGTGCTCAGAGGAGCTCCCTGAAGGCTTGGGCTGAAGCTTGTCTCCACCTGGCAGTGGCATTCTTAGCTTTACTCTCCCGCCCTCCCTCCTGAGAGCACTTCCCCCATACATTCCCTCAGGATCTGCTTCTAGGGAACCAACCTGTAAGGCCTACCATCAGCTTCTTGAGGGATGTCTTTTACCTCCCTGTTACCGTTGCTATTATAAAATGCCTGAGGCTGGGAATTTTATAAAGAAAAGAGGTTTACTGAGCTCACAGTTTTGGAGGTCTAAGATGCTGGCATCTTCTGGCTCTGTGAGGTCTTCTGCTCACTGAATCTCCTCACAGACTGCCTGTCACAGGGAAATGCCATGGCAGAGAGCACAGGGAGGGGGCCAGGCTCTCTTCTCTGGAACTAACCCGGAGACCAGCACCGACCCCTCCTGAGGTGCCTCCAGCAATCTCAGCACCTTCCCTTAGGCCTGACTGATAGAAGTTCCACCAGGGCCGGGGAATGTACCTCAGTGGAGCAGCATTTGCCTATCAGGAACAAGACCCAGCACCAGAGAAGAAAAAACAGGAAAGGAAAGGAAAGAGAGAGGAGGGAGATGGGAGGCAGAGGATCGCTCGCCACATCTCACACTGCCACACTGGAGACCAAGCTTCCAACACAGGAGCGCTTGGCAGACAAACCACACCTGAACAATAACGATCTCCTCCAACAGTGATGGATGGCAGCCCTTTCAGAGACCAACGCCCAATCTGCAACCCAAAACCCACTTATTTATCACAAAGTACCAACAGTACAATTAAACCTGAATGTTCAGCTGCTGGGGAGACTTGGCTCGCATGCTGACAGAGAGGGTTGAGTGTGCCATAGGTTCGCCACCACTCATCTAGAACAAATTCTTGGATTCAGCTTAGGACCACTTCAACTCCATTCCCTTCCCAAGAACAATAAAGGAGGGCACATCTTCATTTCGCTAGAATAGTGTTCAGAACAACGTAAGTACTCAACAAATTTGGGCTGGGGATTTAGCTCAGTGGCACTGCACCTGCCTTACAAGCACAAGGTCCCGAGGTTCAATCCCCAGTACAAAAAAATAATAATAATAATTGAATGGGCCGGAGTGGTATCACATGCCTGTAATCCCAGCTCTCCGGGAAGTTGAGGAAGGGATTGCAAGTCTGAGTCCAGCCTGAGCAACACTGACTCAGTGAAACTCTGTCTCAAAATAAAAGAGCTGGGGAACTCAGTGCAGAGGCCCTGGGTTCAATCCCTAGTACTGGAAAAAACAGAAAGGGACCAGCGGAAATTCCAGGGTCTGCTTTATTTTAGGTTTTTGAGGCAGGGTCTTGCTATGTAGTTCACACCGGCTTCCAACTATGTGTAGCTCAGGCTGGCCTCCAACTCACAGTGATCCTCCTGCCTCAGCCTCCCAAGTGCTGGGTTTATAGGGAAGTACCACACCATTGTGCCTGGCTCCCCAGGGTCTGTTTTACAGCTCAGCAGTCAGCACCTTCTGTCCTGGGATTGGCCCAGCCTGGAGGCATTATGAGTCACAGCTAGTAGACAAGAGCTGAGTGATTCAGAGATGGGGCTGGGTCTACAGCAAGTTGGCACCTCCACCACATCTTCCAGGTAAGGCACAACATAACACAAGGATTACTGGGGAAGGGTTCCCTGGTGAGTGACCTCAGGGGTGGGCCTGGATGTGGGCTTCTAGAGGTCCCTTAGGGGAGGCATCATCCAGCCTCTTCCAGATCTGTGTGAGGAGTGTGTGCTGCATGAAGGAAGGATAACAGTGGAAACCCTGTCCCAGTTCTCTTTCTCCCTGCAGGGGGCAGAAGAGGAATTGAAAACACAACACATAGTCCTTTCTCACACTTATTGAGGAAGAGACAGGGAGAATGGGATTTGTGTGTGTTATATGGACTTCAGATTCCTGCAAGGTAGTCCGCTTTGGATGAAAATCCTGCCTTGCGTGTATAGTGTCTGTGACCTGGAACCCTAAGCACAGGTCTAGACCAAGGGCCTTACCCCAGGATGTCACTGAGCACACTGGATTACGATCCATGCAAACACCTATCCTCCCATCTGGGCCCCGAGCATCTTGAAGGCAGGCACAGGCTGTGCTGGGACACCTGCCAGGACTAGAGAGCTTGTGAATTGAGGCAGTGGTGAAGGGATGCTAGACACACCACAGGACACTCTGCAGTCTGTATGACCCTAAACTTGGCCACAGAATGAAATCCAAGCTGCTGAGCCCACCTGTACAGCACGAAGGGTGCCTGGTCCATCTTTCTAGCTGCCTCTTCTGCCACTCCCAGGACCAAGCCTACTCCCAAGTTCCCCACACGTGGAAATGCATTCCGTTCCCAGCTCTTCACTCTGCCCAGCAGCTCTCCACTGTCCAGTGTTCCATCTGGCAGTCCTCCTCCCTCCTGCTGCCACTTGTTCGGGAAGGGTGGCCACTGAACCTGAGCTGGGATTCTACTCTTGCAGCACCTTTTCTGAGAGGATTTCTAGGAGGCGCCTAAGCCTCCTGGAGAGGGGATTAAGAGGTATCGTTTTCCACACAACCCATTCTCCTTAATTACCTGCATCAGCTACTTAAAGGCAGCTAATTTTAACCAAAAGCGGACTCACTTTCTCCCTTTCCTAGAGACCGATGGTAATTTTCTTTCCGTTTTTCACGGCTGTCTTCTAGCCACCGCCATGAAGAGAAACAGCTGCTGCATTTATGCCCGACCATCCTCAAGTCACTATAGCATAGCACCTTCTCCCTATTCGTCTTTGCTAACATCCCTCCCTTTTCCACTCCCTACCCCTGGCAACGGCAGCTCAGAGATCAAGATCTAGTCTTTCATCTACACACCTGTACCCAAGACCTAACACGAAAATGGTAGTCTCTGGAGCCAGGGTGCAGTGGCACACGCCTGTTAATACCAGCAGCAAGGAAGGCTGAGGCAGGAGGATCACATGTTCTCGTCCCACCTGGGCAATTTAGCGAGATCGTCTCAAAAAAAAAAAAAAAAAAAAAAAAAGTATGGGATTTAGCTCAGTGATTCCAGTGCCTGCCTCACCAGCTCAAGGTCCTGAGTTCAATCCCTGGTACCCAAAAAAAAAAAAAAAAAAAGACAGAGAAAAGAAAGGGCACTCGGAAGTGGGGCGCTCCTGAGTTCTAGCCCCGTACTGAGGGGAGGGGAGGAAGTGGGGACTTTGGAAAAGGGTTCAGTGGGGCGGGCGGGCCCGATTGTGAACAGTGGGCCGCAAGTGGACAGTCCGTAGCGGCAGCCGCGTCCCTGGGCCGGAGCCAGCAGCTGCTCACCGCATTTTCTCCTCCGCAGCGCCCCTGGCTCGCCCTGGTCCTTCAGGAGCCCTGGCCCCCGCGCCCTGGAGGGCTGCGCTTGCCTAGCTCTCGGCCCCGCCGGCCGCCTGTGGGCGCAGCTGCAGCGGCTCTGCGCCAATCACTTCTCGCGGCGCTTCTCGCCGCGCAGGCCACCGCTGCGTCGCTTCTCCTCCATGTCCACGTTCTACCTGCTGGACCTGCGCACGCGCCAGGCCGAGCTGGGCTTGGACTACGGCGAGCCGCGCATGCGCCTCGGCGACGCGGCCTTGGTGTTCCGCGGCGGCCGCTGGGCAGCGGAGGGCCAGCAGGCGGAGGTCCGGCCGTTCCCGCCGACCAGCCCGCCCCGGAGGCCGCGGGGGCCACGGGCCCAGAGCCAGGCACTTCAGGAGGAGAACAACTACCTGAAGCTGCAGCAGGAACTGCTCATGGACATGCTGGTCGAGACCACAGCGCGCGCGCACCTGCTGGAGAAGCAGCTGGAGCCCGCGGGCGCCGCGGCGCGCGCCTGGCGGAAGAAGGTGCGCATCTGCGAAGGCGCCTGCGGCGTCCTCCAGAGCGAGTCGCGCGCGCTGGCCTCGCGGTGACGCAATAAAGCCCTGGCGCGCACGCGCACCTCACCCTCGCCGCCGTTCCGCGGTGCTAGTGGGGACCCCGGGCCTGAACGGTGGGCTGGGACGGTTGGCAGATGTGGCATTCTGGGCCATCGGAGGGCGAAGTCCCGAGGCAGAGGGGCTTACGGTGCCCCGGAACGCAGGGTGAAGGCCAGGGGCGCCAGGGCCGCGAGGGGGACAGGGCCTGCCTCGATACTTTCGCCTTGGACCTCTGCGCCTCGGGGTTCAGCCGAGCCAGAGCCACGGTGACAGAAGCTTTTTCGAGATTTTAGGCTCCTTGCTGGTCGTGGTGGCGTACGCCTGTGAATCCAGCACTCGGGGAGGCTGAGGCAGGAAGGTCACAAGTTCGAGACCACCCTGGGCAATTTAGTTTGCGGATGAGTCTGGTGTGGGAAGCTGAGGCAGGAGAATCGCCGAGAGCTCGGAATCTAAGCAAGACCTTGTCACAAGACCCCCCCCCCCAAATTTTGAGGATAAAATGGGATTAGGAATGTGCCTCAGTTGTACAGAGCTTGTTTAGCAAACACAAGACCTTTGGTTCAATCCCTAGCACCTGAAAACAAACAAAATGCCAGACTTGTGGATACAGAGTAAAGGTGGGTTTTCTGGGTTGCAGATCGTCCGTTTGGGAAACCGAAGCTGTATTGTAAGCTCCTCCGGATCTGCCCCATTTGCTTAGTGTTACATGAAGCCTGGGAAAGAATGTGGTGTCCTCTCTGTTTGACTTGGTTTCAGGGGAGACTGGAGATTCCTAAACCACTACTTCAGGTGAAAATGTATACTGATTAAATCAGCAAAACAGGTAGGATCATTAGACACTTACAAACTTTAGACGCTTAAAATTCTTTTGCGCAGTGCTCTTTTGTGTTTTAATAATTTATATTTATGTTAAAATGGATTGAGTATTTAAAATACTTATGATGGTGGTGAAATAAAATTTCCCTTGAAAACAACCAAATGCTGGATGTGGTGCACGCCTGTAATGGTAAGAAACAAGGTCTTTTCTATCAAAATACGAACAAGAGAGCATCTCCATTTTAAACTCTAGTTCAAGCTAGGCTGCCCTCTCCCATTTTAGGTTTGGCCTACGGATTTATAGCAAATGTTCCGTTTAGATTCCGGGAACACAGCTGACAGCCGGAGATAATTTACCAACAGCCAAGGACTCCTTTCCCGAGCCCCTCACTCTTCCTTCCGCATCAACCCTGCCCAGCATTCCATTCAGGCCCTCCCTTCGCCACTAAAGCAGCCAATCGGGATAGAATGTGAACCTTCAACCCAGCCAATGGGGAAAAAGGTCAACTGTTTCTCGAGCCTTAGAAGTAAAAGCCCGCTGCAGTCTCCCTGCCGGCCTGCTTCCTCATGCTAAGAGCATGCTCCAACCCTTCTGCAGAAGTAAAACCTTGTTTTGTTGCGATTTCTTGGTGTCTGAGTGCTTTATCATCTCCTCCGACATATTGAGCCTGGGACGTATTTCTAATAGGAGGCTCAAAAGTTTGAGCCTAGGAATTTAGCCTCTTAGCAAGGCCCTGTTGCAAGGCTGTGGTGTTGCATGCCTGTAATCCCAGCACTTGGGAGGCTGAAGCAGGAGGATTGTCTCGAGTTCAAGGCCAGCCTAGGCTACATAATGAGTTCAAGGTCAGTCTAAACTACACAGCAAGACCTTGTCTCCAAAAAAAGAGCTGGGATGTAGCTAAGTGTGAGGTCGTGGGCTCAATCCCCAGTAATGGGCTGGAGGGAGAAAAGGAAGCGGCTTTACATAAAAACAGTGAAAATGGCACAGCCAAGTAACAAAAACCATGAGGTGGCTCTTCTGCACGGCGCCCTGCCCTGCTTTCCTACCATTCCTGTGTGGCCTGAGACCTCAACTGAAGCTGAGCGGTTCCTGTGCCACTCTGACTTTCTAGACTGTGATCCCAAACAAAACATCTTTCATGACCTTGCCCATCTCAGGTATTTTCTAGTGACAGCAAATGCACCAAGGGGCTTCGGTGGAACCCTGGGAGCAGGGGAGCTGCCCCTGCAGCCACAGAGCAAGTGCTTTGGCCCCTGCCCTCTTGGGGCCACACCAGTGGTGTATCTGCTGCTTTCTGTTCCCGCCTAGTGTATCGCCCACACAAAAATGGTTTTGGCAGCACTAGGGGTTGAACCCAGGGCCTCACACATGTTGGACAAGCACTTTACCACTGAGCTACACTCATCCCTGCACGTGCAAAAATTCTACCGTCCTAGCCAGGTGTGGTGGCACACACCTGTTATCCCAGCACCTGGGAGGCTGAGGCAGGATGATTGCTGCAAGGTTGAGGTCAGCTGGACTACACAGTGAGTTCAAGGCTAGCCTGGACTACATTGGAAGACCCAGTCTTAAAAAATAAAAAACAAAACAAAAAAGATACAGGCCATCTCATCTGGAAAATAGAAGTAAGTGAATCAGAATTCAGTAACAAAGGACATGGTCGTGGCTCATACCTGTAATCCCAGCACTCTGGGAGGCTGAGAAAAGAGGCTTCCAAGTTCAACCCCAGCCTGGGCAATTTAGCAACTTAGTGAGAATTGTCTCAAAAAAAGGGCTGGTGGGCCGGGGATTTAGCTCAGTGGTTCCAACACCTGCCTCGAAAGCAGAAGTACCGGAGTTCGACCCCCCCCATACCCCCCCCCTAAAAAAAGGGCTGGCGATACAGCTCAGTGTGAAGGCCTTGGGTTCAATCCTTGGTGGTGGGGGGGTATAAACGCAAAAATTTCCACAAATTATTAGGTCAAATTCAACAGGTTGCCATTAAAATGGCAGCTTCAAGGGCCAGGGAAATTACCTCAGTGGTTCCACCACCTGCCTCGCAATCGTAAGGTCCCGAGTTCGATCTCTGGTACCAAAAAAAAAGGCAGCTTCTAGTTGGGCTTGGCAGTGCATACCTGTATTTGCAACACTCAGGAGGCTGAGGCAGGAGGATTGCTAGTAGTTTGAGGTCAGCCTGAACTACACAGTAAGACCTGAAAAAAACAAGAAGCTTTTATTTATTTTTTTTGTTTTTTGGGTTTTTTTTGTACCAGGGATCAAACTTCGGTCCTTGTGCTTGTGAAGCAGGTGGCGAAACCACTGAGCTAAATCCCCGGCCCAAAAAGCTTGTATTGGCCAGGGATTTAGCTCAGTGGCACTGTGCCTGCCTCAAAAGCGCAAGGTCCTGAATTTGATCTTAGGTGCCCCCCCCCAAAAGCTTTTATTGTGTTAGTATAGTACATGTGTGTAATACAAAATATTTGCATTCTTTGTGGGTAGTTGGTACATGTACATAGCACATCTTAACTCCTTAATCTTCATTTTTCATTAAAAATTTAAACTCATACATAAAAACACAAAAATTGTACTTAAAAAAGTTGTGCTTAAGTACAAGGCACCATGTGGTAATCAGATTCTATGCAGTGCATCTGTTTGCTCAAATGCCGGTCACTGCTTTATAACAAAACCCTGCAAGCCCGTTGTCCTGGCTCTTTGAGAGAGCTGAACCCTACTGCTGCCTACAGTCTGCCTTCCAGGTGCCGCAGAGCGTCCGTCCTATTTCCACCATGCTCAGCCTGGGACCAACCCTCACCATCCGACCCACTCCAGCAGCCATCACCCTACTCTCTTCTAGGAAATCAGCTTCTCTAGGGCCCATATTTGAGCAAGATCATGTGGCACTGCCTTTTTGTACACTGCTGACTTCACTTAAGACCCATTCACGGTGGCACAGAGGCTGAGGCAGGAGGATCACAGGTTCAAGGCCAGCCTGGGCAACTGGGCAATTTATCCAGAGCCTGTTTCAAAAAAATACAGAAAGAAGTAAAAAATGGGCTCGGGATGTAGCTCAGTGTGAAGGCTTTGGTTTCAATCCTTAGTACTGTGTAAAAAACAAACAAAACTTTGCTTCCAAAATTTTCAGCATCACAAGTTCAAGGGCAACCTGGGCAATTTAGTGAGACCTTAAAACTAATGTTAGCCGGGTGTGGTGGCACATGCCTGTAATCCCAGCACTCAGAGGCTGAGGCAGGAGGATCCTGAAGGTTCAAGGCCAGCCTGAAGTACAAAGGGAGACCCTGCCTCAAAAACCAGAGCAGGGCTGAGGATTTAGCTCAGTAGTTTCGCCGCCTGCTGCACAAGCACAAGGAACCGAGTTCAATCTCTGGTACCAAAACAAAACAAAACAAAACAAAAAAACAGACCAAAACAAAGAAAATGTTGAAGGGGATAGGGATGTAGTTTAGTGGTAGACTGCTTGGCTGGGGATTTAGCTCAGTGGTTCCGCCGCCTGCCTTGCAAGCAGAAGGACTCGAGTTCGATCTCCAGTACCAAAAAAAAAAAAAGAGTGGTAGAATGCTTGCTTAGTGTGCATGTGGCCCTCGGTTCAGTCCCTAGTTCTGCAAAGATAGATAGATGGGCCTGGAGATGTAGCTAAGTGGTAGAGGGCTTGCCTAGTATACATAAGGCCCTGGGTTTAATTCCCCAGTGCAGCAATAAACACACAAACAAATAAATACAAATGGTTAAAATGGCAAAAGAAAAATTGTTTTTGAGTGCATACCCAGAAGCTCTGCTTTCAGAAGCCAGGTCTGGCCAGAAACAGAACACAGAACACACTTGATCAGAAGAAATACAAGCTGGTAAGTAGAGAACAGTGTTTCCGACAGGCATGGTGGTATGGCGCACACCTGTGATATCTCAGGTTTTGGGAGGCTGAGGCAGGAAGATTATGGGTTGTTTTGTTTTGTTTGTGTTTTTGGTATGAGGATCAAACTCGAGACCTTGCACTTTCGAGGCAGGTGGTGGAACCACTGAGCTAAATCCCCGGCCCTGGAGGATTATGGTTTGAGGCCAGTCTGGGCAACTCAGCGGAACCTTGTTTCAAAATAAAAATTTAAAATAAAGGGCTGAGGTGGTGCTGCCACCTGCCTCACAAGCTCAAGGTCCTGAGTTCGATCCCGGTACCAAAGAAATAAAGGGCTGGGGTTGTAGTTCAGTGGTAGGGCGCTCGCCTAGCGTAAGGCCCTGGAACAAAAAATAAAATAAAACAAAAAGGGGCGGCTTCCGGTAGGAAGTCAGGTCTCTGCTCCTGGATGCGGCCCCAGCGGGAACCGGGAGCCTGGCCGCTGCGCGCACAGGAAGGGCGCGGGCTCCCGGCGCGGCCTGCGGCGCGGCTCTGGCGACCCCTGCTGGCGACCTCGCTGCTCGAGTCCGGGCAGCTGCTCCGCTCACCGAGGCGGCACGGGACCAGCGCGGTCCTCCGAGGCCCGGGCAAGGCCAGGCTCCGCCGCGGTCGCGGGAAATTTGGCAGCGGCCAAGTCAGCCAGGCAGGCCGCCACCGATCAGACGCCCGGCCGGCACCGGTCTGCCCAACACGCCCGAAAAGCGAGCACCTCGCTGCCGCCGATCGGCCGGGCTCGGCCGTGTGCAGCCCGTCAAAGCTCGCTGAGCTCTGTGACTCTCCTGGGTCCAAGTGATTCACATCCACGAATCATTCTTTGCTCAAATACTCTGTTAAACCTACTTTGTGTCAAGTTTTTCTTTTCAGCCCGCTGTGGTGCTTTTGAGAGGGGAGCCCACCCCTCCATGTGGCCCTGGGCCCTGTGGGCTAAGTGGGCAACTGCTCTCTGTGGGGTGCAGCTGAGCAGCAGTGGTGGCTTCTGCAGTCCGTCACCGTCGCCACCGAGGAGCAGGAGTGCAGGGACGCACTCCACTGTTTGCTCGTGTAAATCCTGCTTGCCATATTCCCAGGGAAACTCCAGTGGGATTAGGCTTCACAGATGTAAAAAGAGCTATATAAGGAAGTGCACACTTCTATTTGGGGCTCTTGAGACTAACAGGAGTCACTTGCTGAGCCACCGGCAGCTGCTTTTTGCTCTTATCTTAATTTTATTTTGTTCATTTTTGGTACGGGGATTGAACTCAGGACCTTGTGCTTGCCAGGCAGGTGCTGTGTCCCTCAGCTACATCCCTGGCCCTGTAAATTACTTACCTATCTTCATTTTAAAAGAGTCATCTGTGCTGGGGTCCTCACTGTTTCCTGCTTCACTTTAAGATCCCAGCACCCCAGACAGAGGCTGAGGCAGGAGGGGCTCTGTGAATTCATGGCCAGCCTGAGCTACACAGTGAGTTAATGCCTCAAAAAAAGTTTTTCTTTTAATAACATGTGTGAGGGAGAGAGGCAGGCTAGAGTGGGGTAAAATGTACATACTACAGCTCGCATGAGAAAAAGGTATCTTTATTTTCCATCTCTGAGCATGCTCTGTCCCAAGCCCTAATTCCTGCTGTCTGGAGAACAGCCAGGTTCGAACTTTAATGGTGTTGGTCCCTGACTGTACTCTCCTTGAGGAAGCCTCACTCAAGAGCATCTTCCTTTCTCAGGTCTGGAGTTGGGACAAAGCCCCTGCCTTGTGCTGTTTCCTGTTGGTGATCGGAGCACAACACAGGGCAACTAACAAAGAGTAGCCCCTTAGTTGGCCAGAGGCTGGGCAGTCTGGCGTCTGCTGTTAACCTCGAGGCTTCATAGAATGGGGCACCACTTGCAAGAGCTGAGCTTGCCCTGGACAGCTTTTTTTTTTGAGACAAGGTCTCACTGTGTAGCCCAGGATGGCCTTGAACTTGGAATTCTCCTGTCTCAGCCTCCCAAATGCTGGGATGAGAGGCGTGCGCTACCATGCCTGGCTCCAGAGCTTGCTTTTATAGAAAATCCACCCTTGCAAGAACCCATCAGTCCACATATGATTACTCCATTCACTAAGGCTTTGACACAGTCCCCTCCTGAATGCTGCATCTTCTTCACTGCCACTTTGAGGCCCAAGTTCCTGCATCAAAGAGCCTCTGGAGGCTGCATTCACATCCAGGTGCGGTCAGCAGCAGTCTTTGGCTCTGTCTGGCTCACACTTGGGGAGTCCCTGTCCTGCCTGGTGGTGACCCTGACTGGCTTCACCCATCTCTGCAGGCCCAGCTCCCTCACCATGGTTACTGAGGGCCGGGACATGGTCATGTTGTCACTGTGCAGACACAGGGGCTAGGCCACGAGGCTAGGACTCAGAAAGGAGCAGGTAGAGAAAGCAAATGTGTCTCTTAAACCTTCCTCAGAAGAAAAGTCCAGGCCGGGATAGCTTCACTGGTCAGCATATCAAATATTCAATAAAAAACAAATGCCAATCTCATGTACAAAACAGAGGAGCAGCTAGGTTCCTTTTATGAGCCCAGTTTAACCTTCAGAAAAACCTGACAGGCCAGGCGTGGTGGTGCACGCCTGTAATCCCAGCACTCAGGAAGGCTGAAGCAGGAAGGTCAGCACGAGTTTGAGTCTAACCTGGGCTACACAGGGAATTCAAAGTCAGGTTGAACTACACAGCAAGGCCTTGGGCTCCCCTCCCCCGACGTTGGACAATAACCAGGAGAAGTCTAGGGGTATAGTTTCCTGGCAGAATGCTAGGCTAAAACCAGATGTGGTGGCCCATGCCTATAATCCCAGCATTTGGAAAGCTGAGGCAGGAGGATCACCAAGAGTCTACCCTGGGCTATGTAGTGAGTTCAAAAGCCAGCCTTAACTATATAGTGAAACCCTGTCTCAAAAAACAAAACAAAACAAAACAGAGTGCTTGGCTAGTGTGCACGAGGCCCTGAGTTCGCTCTTCCGTAGCACAAACAACAACAACAACAACAACAACAACAACCACCACACTACAAAAAGTTGCACACCAGGGCTGGGGATTTAGCTCAGTGGTTCTGCCGCCTAGCCTGTCTTGGAAGCGCAAGGTCCCAAGTTTGATCTCCGGTACTAAAAAAATAAAAAAATTAAAAAAAAAATTGCAAACCAAGCTGAGCGTGGTGGTGCATGTCTGTAATCCCCAGCACTTAGGAGACTGAGGCAGCGGGATCCCCATGAGTTCAAGGCTAGCCTGGGCTACATAGCAAGACCCTGTCTCAAAAAAAAAAAAGAAATAAAAAATAAAAAATAAAATTTGAACTGTACATGATGGTCCACACCTGCAATCCTAGCACTCTGGAGGCTGAGGCAGGAAGACTGCAAGTTCAAATCCAGACTGGGAAATTTAGGGAGACTGTCTCAAAATATAAATTTAAGAGCAAGGGATATAGTTCAGTTCAAAGCCGCAGAGTTCAATCACTGTACTGCAATCAAGTACTGCAAAAATATATTTTTTTTGGTACTAGAGATAGAACTCGGGACCTTGCACTTTCGAGGCAGGCAGTGGAACCACTGAGCTAAATAAAGTTGATGGGGGGGGTGCCATCTCAGCCTCCTGAGTGCTGGGATTATAGGCATACACCAGCACTTCCAGCCAAATTTTACTTTTTGAGACAGGATCTCACTGTGTGGCCTCAAACTTATGATCCTCCTTCATCAGCCTCCTTAGTATGTGAGATTGTAGGCATGTGGCATAGCACCTGGCCCAACATTTAGGTCTTTTTTTTGGTACCAGGGATCAAACTCAGAACCTCACACTTGCCAGGCAAGCGCTGTGTCGCTGAGCTACATCCCCAGCCCCCAACATATAGTTCTTGATGGATATGTGTCAGTTGATCTATCTGCCAGTATCGATACCACCTAAATTCTAGCTGGGTGTGGTGGTGCACACCTGAAATTCCAGAATTTTGGAAGGCTGAGGCAGGAGGATTACAAATCTGAGGCCTGCCTGGGCAATTTAGACTTAGTAAAACCCTGTCTCAAACAAACACCCGCTGGGGACATGGGTGTGCAAAAATGGCCAGTGTCCCTCCCCCCAGAGTTTCTTATAGAATAGGAAGTAGAGCAAAGCTAATGGTCGCTGAGGAAAGAAGTTCAACTTTTTTTTTTTTGGTACCAGGGATCAAATTTGGGACCCCGTGCTTTCGATGGAGGCGGTGGAACCACTGAGCTAGATCCCCGGCCTTTTTTTTTTTTTTTTTTGGACCCCGTGCTTTCGATGGAGGCGGTGGAACCACTGAGCTAGATCCCCGGCCTTTTTTTTTTTTTTTTTTGAGAATAGGGTCTCACTTTGTAGTTCACATTGGCCCTGAATTCACTAGTAGCCCAGGCTAGCCTCGAACTCAAGGCGATCGATCCTCCTGCCTCAGCCTCCTGAGTGCTGGGATTACAGGCATGTACCACCATACCTGGCAAAAGTTTAACTTTTTTTTTTTGGTAGCAGGGATCAAACTCAGGTCCTTGTGCTTGCGAGGCAGGTGGTGGAACCACTGAGCTAAATCCCCAGCCCTAAAAGTTCAACTTTTGTATGAGAAACAATTTTTAGTATTTTGACAATTTATATGAGAAAATTTGCTATATTAAATTTTACTTCACTGGTCATCAAACAAGTGTAAATGAGAGATACGGTTTTTTCTTTCAGTGTTAAATTAGCAGAAATTAGAGGGAAGGAAATTCTGTGTTGGCCGAAAGGGAGTCACGGGAAGCTCACACAGCAGAGAAAGGTCAGGGGCGAATCTTTTATATTATTAGCAGTAAAAATATTCAACCTTTCACTGAATAATTGACTTCTAGAAACCTATCGTAAGGAAATCATCTTTTCTTTTCGGTACCATTACATTTCCTTTTGTTAGTTGGGCATGGTGGTTCACACTTCAGTGCCAGCACTTGGGAGTTCCAGGCCAGCCTGAACTACACAGCAAGGCTGTCTCAAAAAACAAACAAAAAAACCCCAAACAAAAAACATTTCCTCTTGTTATGGAAGAGAATTCCAGCCAACTTTTAGAAAAAAATTAGGAAAAGTAAACATTTTAGGAGTGTAGCCATGTTGTTAAAAAGGAGATGAATATTTGGGCGGGAGTTGTAGAGTGAAAATCCCTAAATTGCCGGCTAGTCTGGAATTTGGGATTCCCCTGCTTCAGCCTCCCACAGTGCTGGGATTAGAGATGTGTGTCACCAGGCGTTTATTATCATTTTCCTGGAGACAACTCTAGGTTGCCCAGGCGGGTCTTGATCCTCCCGTCGCCTCCCAGGTATCCTGGGGCTGCAGGCACTGCAGGAGGATGTAGGGTGAAGATGAAGAACGAAAGGAACTCCAAGGGGTTGGAGATTTGCACTCAAGCCCGTGTTCAGGTCACGTCCGCCACCAGCGCTCTCGGCGGCTGCAGCCTACGAAGCAGGGGCGCAGACGGGCAGCGCCGAGCGGCCGGCTCCGTCCCGAGACTCCCGGGGTCACCGCGCAGCGAGGTCCCCGCGGGCCGGCCAGGGTGCGAGGCCGTCGGCCCGGCGGGACGCAGCCCAGGCGCCCTCGCAGCGCCGGTCAGCTTGGGCTGCTCTAGGAAGGGGGCGGGCGGCGGGGCGCGAAGGCGGGCCGTGCCTGTCCTCCCCGGTCGGCCAGGGTGGAGGAAGGCACATCAATCGGCGCCCGCCCCGGCTCCGGTTCCTTCCGGGGACTGACGGCCGCCACGCCCCTCCCCCACGCCGGCGGGCGGACCAAAGAACCGTTTGAAGGAAGGCGCATGCGCATAAAACAAAATTAGAAACCGCTGAGGGTCTTGGTTCCATATTTGCGGGAAAGCGCAGGCGCAAAAACAGTCCCGCGGGATTAAGGAGCTAGGGGAGCTGAGTCCAAAACGCACCGGTGTAAGAATCAGCGGGTGGGAGGAGGGAGGGCTTTTGATGTCACGCATGCGCCTCAGCTCTGCGTGACGCAGAGGGGCGGTGCAGGCACCTGGCTGCGCTTGCGCAGAACTCCCCCCGAAGGGCCTTATTTAGGTTGCGCAGGCGCCCGTTGGCCATTTCTCCTCAGCCGCGCCGGAGTCGTTCGTGTCGGTGAGTGTCCGCAGGTCCTTGTTTGTCTCCCAGCGACCTCGGAGGATGCGGCTTTCGGCGGCGGGGGGGGGGGGTCCTTTGTTCCGGAGCCTAGAGGGTATTGGCAAGCTGCGGTCTGCCACTGGGAGATGCGAGAGGCTCGCTGAGCTTGGGGGCGCTGCCGAGGCCTGCAGGCCGCGCCGACTCTATTGTGTGAGATGTTGGAGGAGGCGGAGCGGAAGCGGCCGCCGCCATTTCCTCGCCTCCGCTTCGGCCCTCGGCTGGGGTCCCCTCGGCCTGGGGCTTTGGCCCCTGGTGCTCGGAGCGGCCTTGCGGGCCCATCGCTGGCCAGTGAGGGCCCGGGCGTCCGCCGGCCGGCGATCCTGTCGCGGGCCCGCGGGGCGCCTCGGCGGCGGAGGCTGCTAACGTTCCCCGGTCTTATCGTCACGTTCGCCTTGCAGTCTGTCTCGACTCGAGATCCTGCTGGAGACGATGATGTTGGGCACCGAAGGCGGAGAGGGGTTCGTGGTGAAGGTGCGGGGCTTGCCCTGGTCTTGCTCGGCCGACGAGGTGCAGCGGTTCTTCTCCGGTGAGTCTGCGGCGGGAGGCGGGAGGCGGGAGTCGCCCTGCGGGGCGGCGGCGGGCGGGGCGGCCCCGGGCGCCCCCTGTCGGGCGCAGGCGGAACCGCGCCCGGGCCGCTCGCGCCGCGCGGGCTGTTTGTTACGCAATGGACGCTCAGCCCGCCGGGCCCCCGGGGGTTCTTTGTTAAAGCCAGCCCAACTGTTGTGAATGTCTTCATATCGGAAGGATTAATTGGGGTGGATGAGTGTTACCCTCTATCTTTGCTTGCCCTGTAATAACTTGTCCCAAGTATGTTACGTGGCATTCTGCTCTGGGAAGTTAAAATGTCACTGGTAGTTGAAGAATTCTTACTTAGTTTCTGATCTGGCTCGCGTTACATTTGAGGACACAGAGGCAGGGCTTTTTCACCTGTGTCCTTTTTTTTTTTTTTTTTTTTTTTCTTTTTTTGCATCGTGTAAGTTCCCTGAATGACTCCTACCAGAATCTTATTTTTCTCTATTAGTGTAGGACGGAAAAAAGTTGTATTTGGGAAATTGTAGTTTTGGGGAAAGACACTTATAGTATTGACTATTTGAATTTAGCTATAGTAATGAAAATGATCTGTAAAACAAGAACTGAGTACACCGGAAGCCACTTTTGCAGGGGGCAAGACTGGGTTTGGCTTCAGCTGTGCAACTTGGAGCGTTTTAGCTTGATAACACTGATCCCTTCTCAGGTGAGTATTAAGCCTGCAGTTTGGATTGAGTGACTACTGTAATATGGCTGCTGGTAAGGCAGATCTGAAAGATTACCCAGAACAAAACTGTTCAGAAAATGCAGTAAAGTCGTGCGATCAAGATTTCTTTTTTCTGAGAAGTTAGAAAAAAAGCATGCATGCTGCAGTTAGCATATGCCTGTAATCCTAGCACTCAAGAGGCTGAGGTAGGAGAAGCTCCATGGTTTAAGGCTAGCGAGGGGTACATAGACCAGGCTAAAAGACATTCACTGGAAACTTGAGTAATAAGGACTGAGAGGTACTTCATTAAAGTGCTTTGAATATTGGGTTCTCTTGGGCAGTGTGCCATTTAGGGAATGAGATAGGTGGCCAGAGGATGGCGTAAATACTGTAGAGACATGAGTTGGTAGTATCTTGGTCACTTTTGGCTTTACAAATAACCTACTTTTTACTGGTGATGTGAAAATGTTTTTTTTGTTTTTTGAGACAGTCTCGCTCTGTAATTCAGGCTGGCCTCAAACCCCATGTCAGTCCTCCTGCCTCAGCCTCCTGAGTGCTGGGATCATAGGCGTGTACCATCAAACTTGGTGAAAATACTCTTCATTGGTATCCCCTGGAGGTGGTTTTAGGTTTTAAATTCTGTATTAACAGTTGTTTTCTTTCCAGACTGCAAAATTCAAAATGGGGCTCAAGGTATTCGTTTCATCTACACCAGAGAAGGCAGACCAAGTGGCGAGGCTTTTGTTGAACTTGAATCAGAAGATGAAGTCAAATTGGCCCTGAAAAAAGACAGAGAAACTATGGGACACAGATATGTTGAAGGTTTGATATATGTTGCCCTAGTAACACTAAGTAAAATGTTAAACATAGAGATCTTATCCCCTTCTGAATTTTAGGTATTTGACCGCATGGAAATGGTCATCTAAGGGAGTTTATGGCAGCTCTTCCTAGCTTATCTAAAGACCCAGGAAATCTGAACTGTGTTCTCTAACTTTCCAAAATTGACTAATTCTAAGCACCTCTTTCAGTATTCAAGTCAAACAACGTTGAAATGGATTGGGTGTTGAAGCATACTGGTCCAAATAGTCCTGACACGGCCAATGATGGCTTTGTACGGCTTAGAGGACTCCCCTTTGGATGTAGCAAGGAAGAAATTGTTCAGTTCTTCTCAGGTATGTGGTCTTGTTGCTGAGCAGTGAGTTCTGGCTAGCTTCTGGCAACATGATTGAGTAGATGTTAAAATTGAGTAGCCTAGGTACTAATTAGGTTGTGAGTATATGCCGATGAATTTGTTTTCTTCCTAGAGACCTTCAAATAACTTAAGCCCATCTTAAAGGTGGAAATCAGAAGTACTTCCAAAATGTTAATTTTTGCCTATATTTAGTAGCTTAGTTCAGAGTAGATCTTTTGAGGACTGTCCTCAACAGCTTAACTACTTTTCTCACATGCTGCTTAGTAAAGTACTTCAAGTTAAAGGTAAGATCCCGTACTGTTAGATTAGTATGAGTTAGATTGTAACTTAAAGTGTCTGTTGTAAGACACTTAATTTAGGTCATAGAACCAGAAATATTTCTAATGGTTTAATCCTCCTTATAACTAACCCCTACCCTGAAAAAAGAAAGACCATGGAAAGAGCTTGATTTAGCCAGCCTATATGAAGTCAGAATCAGCAAGTATAGTTGGGATGCTTGTCTCAGTATGTGAAATACAGCATAGAAAGTATTTTGAAATTGTTTTGGGCCTAAAGTATTTGAATGTTTTTATGCTGAAGAGCTGATAAGATTGCATGTTTAGCAGAATGTTACATCATATATTTTTAAGTGTACCATTAATCTCTAGATGTGATAAACTGGAATTAAGCAAGAAATCCTTTCATGGTTTATATAGTATGTATTAAAATCTTGAGTGTTAGATGATGATGTATGGAGTCCTAATGTCAGAATTTTTGAAATCAAGTTTGCTTTGTTTTATCTAAATCGGTGAGAATTGAATGCTATCTGTCAACGTTAAATATGAACATAATTTCATATCTTCTAGGAAAGTGCTTTAAGCCCTTTTTGTAAGCTTGGGAATGTATCCACGGAAAGGATTTTTCATAAACGGAATTTCCAGAAGTGAATCATACTACTGTTAGAACATAAGAATGCATGACTGTGCTGTGTAGATAGTTTGTTCAAAGTTTAGATTGTTGATTATGATTTATTGTTTGAATTTTTATATAAAATGTTTAAATGTGTACTTTTAAAAAACTTTTGAAGTTCCAGTAACTTAATGTATTGAAATATAAAATGAGGTAAAAGGTGTCTTGAATTTAGTAAAACTTGTTTTAATGCTTGAAATTTTATTAAGTTGTATAATTCTAAACAATACATTGCATAGATAAGTGTTAACTGTTGAATTCTTAATGCACCCTATGTAAAGCAGCAAGTTTTTAAAAATATAAATGCATACTGTGCCCCTTGGGGTGTGTTAAGAATTGTGTTGTACTTTTAATAGTGGAACTTCATATTATTGCAATACATATTTAAAGAGTACTTGTTGAAAGCATACCGTTCACCTAAAGTTAAATTTCTGGTTTATTTAAAGCTATAAGAAGAATCATTTCTGGGCTTGTGATGTTAATATTGCCCCCCTACTGGGGTTATTTGTCCTTGGGTTGAAGGGTTGGAAATCGTGCCAAATGGGATAACATTGCCGGTGGACTTCCAGGGGAGGAGTACGGGGGAGGCCTTCGTGCAGTTTGCTTCACAGGAAATAGCTGAAAAGGCTCTAAAGAAACACAAGGAAAGAATAGGGCACAGGTGGGGATGGATGGCTGGTGGATTTGTCACTTTTCTTATGGTAAACAGTTAAATCCATATTCTCTCTGCTTAAGAGGAGGAAATCTGTCCATTTTATAGTCCCCCTTCATTGATGTTTTGCCACAATTTCAAACTTCTCTGTCAAGTGTCCCATATTGCATTCAGACTAAATTTGAGATTTTAAAATTGTCACAGATCTGATTTACTTTGGGATTTTGGAAGATTCTTAATTTGTTAACCCTAGTCGATGGAGTTGAGAGACTATGGCTTTAAAAAATTGATGCAAATTTGGCTTTAGCTATAATAACACCCATCTAGTAAATTAATATTACCATAAGAAAATGTGATACTTTCTGATCTTGTTTTTAAAGTTGAAATGCAACAAACGTTTTCTTGCTGTATAAATATTCTGCATATGTATTACTAAGCATAGCTTTCAAGAAATTGTCACAAAAGGTTTTATTCTCTTTGCTTGTGACTATTTTTCATTGAAGCATGCGCTTAAACCTATGCTGATTCATACTGAAAGCATAGGCTGGGGTACTTCTTTGGCGATAGGAAGTGTGTAGTGTGGGCTGGACTGTTGGTGAAGGCTGGCTTTTTAGCCCACTTGCTATACATGCTGCCAGTGGATCTGAGTTGAAATGTTGAAAGTTGAGTGGAATTTTTTCCCTCCTGAACTGTTTATTTGTAATGCTCCTCGCTACCCCTAAGGTTGGGCTCTGCCTCAGAGGAGTGACTTTTTATTTTCCTATAAAGTTTACGATGTTTTACTGTTGAGTGAATTTCTGGTCATTGCCTATGCAAATATAAGGAATCTGGCTTTAAATATTAGTCAGTTTCATGGCTATGACTAGATTGTTTTCTTGTATAACAGAGACCCTGTATGAAATGAACTAATGTTTTCTCTCCCCTCCCCACTCCTTTCCTCTTGGACAATGCTTTAGGTATATTGAAATCTTTAAGAGCAGTCGGGCTGAAGTTAGAACTCATTATGATCCACCACGAAAGCTCATGGCCATGCAGCGACCAGGTCCCTACGACAGGCCTGGGGCTGGCAGAGGGTATAACAGCATTGGCAGAGGAGCTGGCTTTGAGAGGATGAGGCGTGGTGCTTATGGCGGAGGTGAGTGGTCTCTGCAAGGCTGGACCAGTTCTTTCTCCTTGGTCTAGGAATTCTCATTTGATTAACCACTTTTTTTGTTTTTCAGGCTATGGAGGCTATGATGATTATAATGGCTATAATGATGGCTATGGATTTGGGTCAGATAGATTTGGAAGAGGTAAGGTGAGAATTAAATTTCCCACCTGAAGGATGCCTACACTCCTGTTCATCTAGACCTCAATTACTGTTTTTCAGGAATGTCCGATCACAGATACGGGGATGGTGGTTCAACTTTCCAGAGCACAACTGGGCATTGTGTACACATGCGGGGATTACCTTACCGAGCTACTGAGAATGACATCTATAATGTAAGTGCAAAATGGGTTGACTCACAAGTCGGTTGCTTCAGTATGGGAGTTAAACTTAATCCTCCCCCTTTTTTTTTTTTGGTACCGGAGATCAAACTCAGGTCCTTAGCTTGCGAGCCCCCCCCCCCTTAAGTGAGCATCATGTAATGAAATTTTTCATAATGTTAAGAAGTCGTGCTGGGGTGTAGCTTACTGGTAGAGTGCTTGCTTGGCCAGCCTGAGTTCAGGCAGGGTCCAGTCCTCAGAACCGCAAAAGAAAGTTTTTGGTGTATCTTGTGTTTCAGTTTTTTTCACCACTCAACCCCGTGAGAGTACACATTGAGATTGGTCCTGATGGGAGAGTAACTGGTGAAGCAGATGTTGAATTTGCAACTCACGAAGATGCTGTTGCAGCTATGTCGAAAGATAAAGCAAATATGCGTAAGTATAATTAGAGCACTGGAGGGTCCTCAGGCAGCCATGTGACAGACGGTTCAAAAAGATGCATGAGAAATTTCATTTCCACTGCTCGTGGTGGGGGTGGGGTTAGCTTAGATGTGTTAGGGATTGTAGGGGTTTTTTTTGGAACCAGAGATTGAACTCCATTCACTGCGCTTGCAGTGCAGGCAGCAGAACCACTGAGCTAAATCCCTGGCCTACTAAGTTTGTAGGTTTTTAAAATTAGTATGCAGAGCTGGGGTTGGTCTTCATGCCTTAATGCTAGCACACTTGGAAGGTTGAGACAGGATGATTGCTGGAGTTCAAGGCCAGCTGGGCTACATAGTGAGTTCAAGGCCACCCTGAACTATGGAGTGAGACTGTCTCAAAAAAACAAAAATATGCAGAAGGGGATTTGTAGTATGGATCATATTATGAAGTTTGTCTTTATTGACTATTCAGATGAATATTTAAAGGCAAGTTTTTTGGGGTTTTTTTGGGTACTGGGGATCAAACTCGGGTCCTTGCGCTTGTGCAACAGGTGGCAAAACGATTGAGCTAAATTCCTGGCCCTAAAGGCTAGTTTTTATAAATGAGCAGCCAGAAATTTTCTTACTGAAAAGTATTTGATGTTCACAAATCTACTTGTAGAAGAACTTTTGAAGTGCTTGTATTTTCATCAACATGCATTTTCAAACTTTCTTTTTTCTCATTTCAGAACACAGATATGTAGAACTCTTCTTGAATTCTACAGCAGGAGCAAGCGGTGGTGCTTACGGTAGCCAAATGCTAGGAGGCATGGGTTTGTGTAAATATCACTTTAGTGTCTTTTTTTTTAAGCTAACCTTATATGCCTTTTCTCTCATTTCAGAACACAGATATGTAGAACTCTTCTTGAATTCTACAGCAGGAGCAAGCGGTGGTGCTTATGGTAGCCAAATGATGGGAGGCATGGGCTTGTGTAAATATCGTTTTAAAAACCAAAACATTTTATCTGTATAAGTCGATTATAAGTTAAGTTAATCATATTTAATGAGTTTAGCATAATAATTTAGCTTAACAATTTAAGCTAGGCAAAGAGAATAGTTTCTTAATTTGTATTAATTTTGTAATTAGTACTATGTTAATTCTTAAATATGATTTATCCTAAACTTTTATAACACTTAAGTACTTTGGGGGAAGGGACTACAGAATAGAACTAGTTAAATTGAATACAGTTTAAATGTAAAATAGCAAAAACACAGGCTTAAACCTTTAATTTTGGGAGCATAATTAGCTGGGGATAACTAGGTGTGCATTGATACCTGTGTATTGACATAGCTTACTATATCAAAACGAGGGCTGTCCCACTAAATCCAATGAAGCAGTTTAAGATCTTCACAAGGCTTCTCCTGTGGAATCGTGGATTTAGTCCTGCTGATGTGTATTCCGCTAACCAATTGTTGGTTCCTAATGTCTAAGTGAAATGATGAATAGAAGGGTTAATCTGGTGATACACAATAGGCAGGAGGAGGCAGAGGGTTAGAGTAATAGAAGATCGAGACTGGAAATCATAGACATAGGTACAAGCCCGGTACCACCAGGTACCACCTTACATGAGGAGCGAGGCTCTAATGTTCTCTTAACTTGACAGCAAACCAGTCCAGTTACGGTGGCCCAGCCAGCCAGCAGCTGAGTGGTGGCTACGGAGGCGGCTATGGCGGCCAGAGCAGCATGAGCGGATATGGTAAGCATGCATTTGCATACTCCTAGAGTAAGTTTTAGGTAGGTTTCTTTAGCTGGGAATATGCAGGCTTCTTTTTTGAGATTGGGTTATTTAAAATGTATTGTTTTTAATAACTTTCAGAAACAGGCATGCGGGGGGAGTGTTACAGGAATTAAAAGTAGTCATTGCAACTTTTGGCCTACTGTCGAGCCAGAAAACATCTGCTTTCATCTGTTAAAACATTAAATAAAGTAATTCATTTTTTTTTTCTGTCTTGCTTAGCATTAAATCAATTTTTGAAGATTTTTAAAATAGAATGGTGGTTGGGTTCAGGACCGTATTTTAACACTAGTCAGTTAACTTAGGGATGGTTTTATTTATTTTTTTCAATTGGTCTAAAGAATGGTGATTTTGGTATGATAGTCTTACCCTACAAAATCCTTTTGCAGACCAAGTTTTACAGGAAAACTCCAGTGATTTTCAATCAAACATTGCATAGGTAAATATTTTCTCAAAAAATATCAATTCCCAATAGCAGTTACTGATATGTTGTAAACACTTACCTCGATAATAGCAGTCAGTGGCTCTGAGTTAACTCCTTGGAGGCTGCCTGTGGGCGCAGTGAGTGGCTTTATCCAACTTTGTCGTCTTCGTCTCACTTCCTGCCCATAATGAATAGGGAAAGCAAGACTTCCCCTGTGCTCCCTATTCATATGTGCCATTTGATGGGCATTTGTGTTATGGTAAATTTTTTTTAAAATGCCTTGTTTAGCTTTAAAAACATGGAGTAATTTTGCAATTTTTGAAAAACACTAGTTTTCCTTTAAACTTAAATTTTCCACGTTGATCCTGAAGAGTCCGTTTAAGTGGTAGCACAAGAGTCTGGCAAGTTGGTACTGCAGAGAAAGGGGTTAATCTGGGACTTGTTTGGAGTCGGGATCCTCCTTCCCAAACATGCTTCTCGCCACTTGGACAGCAGCCATTTGTACTCGTATACCTTTTAAACTTTTTCTTGGAATGTTGTATTTTACTTGACTGATTGTCTGGCACTACTCCTAACTTGTCAAATTGGTCTCTTTGCAGGCAGCCAAGGAGCAGTGAACAGCAGCTACTACAGTAGTGGAAGCCAAGCATCTGTGGGCGTGAACGGAGTGGGAGGGGTGTCTAGCATGTCCAGTATGAGTGGTGGATGGGGGATGTAATTGATCCTGATCACTGACTCTTGGTCAACTTTTTTTAAAGGAAAAAACAAATCTTAGTTTAACAGTTTTTGCAATCCAAGCTTGAGATTTATGATAACTCTTATCAGGAAATGAGGATTGTTTTAAAGACTCAAGGTTCAGTATTTTTGAACACAAGTTATCCAGGATGTAACATCAAGATTAAGTAAACTATAACTGTTAAACACTTTTCAGCTTTTCTCAAAGTAGTTATATTGTAGGATGTACTTAAGCAGTAAGTGTATTTAGGTTAAAGCAGTTGAATTATGTTAAATGTTGCTCTTATATCACATGGAACACTGTTGGGAAGCATGTTGAAAGACATGCTGTTTTGTAAAATTCAATATAGGAGCTGTGTCTACAATTACAGTGAAACATTTGGCATGTTTGTTAATTCTAGTTTCATTTAATAACCTGCAAGGCACGTAAGTTTAAGCTTTTTTTTTTTTTTTTTTAAAGTTAATGGGGAAATTGAGATGCAATACCAATCAATACCTTAGGATTTGGTCTTGGTGTTTGTATGAAATTCTGAGGCCTTGATTTAAATCTCATTGTGATTTCCTTTCAGGTGTATTGCGCTTAAGTGAAACTTGTCAAATAAATCTTTTACAAACTGCACTTTGTCTTGTCTGGGCCTCAGTGCTACTGCCATGGGCTGTCCCTGCCTGGGCATAGGGCCGTGTCTGGCTGCCAGAGGCTTGGCAGTTGTGCCTGGTGTTAGATGCCTTCAACTTCTCAGCTGCAGGTAAACCTGGCTCTGGGGCCTATGTGGCAGGAAGGGGGTACATAGGACCTGGTCTCCGTGCTCTCACCCCTCAGCATGGCCTGCGTGGCCGAGAGGTCAGGGATGGTGCCGGGACGTTGCCTTTCTCTGAAGTGTGGGTGGGTTGGGGTGTGTGATCCCAAGGCCTTGGCCATGCCAGGTGTTCTATTAATGAGCTACATCCTGCTTTCAGATGGCTTTGAAATTGAGGTTTTGAGCTTGATGTTTTTGCTGCATTCCTAAAAGTGAAGAACACTGTGCCATAAAACTGCATGCCAGTATCATATATTAAATAGTATTTCTGAGAGCAAACATGACTAGTTTGAATCAGTTACTGCAGTATTTTTTATATATATATATACTTTTGGTACCGGGGACTGAACTCGGGCCCTTGTGCTTGCAAGGCAGGCAGCAAAACCACTGCCAAATCCTCAGCCCCTGCCGTATATTAATGTTCTGCTAGGTTGAACTCCATGAGATGTATGCAGGCAGGACTTTTTCAGCAAAAGTTACGTGAAAGCAGTTCTTGAGATAGGCCCAGAATGCTGAGGACCAGTGAGGACGGTGCAGTTGGGAAGGGGCGCTCTGCCCTCTTGGACAAGCAGTGCTGAGATGAGAATACGAACTGCAGGCTGCAGTGATGGGGCTGATGCTGAAAGCCAAATGTGCAGTGAACATGGGGGCTCTAAGCCTGGACGCCACACCCGAGTGAAAAATAAAAGTTTTTATTTCAGGGCCTGGCACAAGGCCTCAGCAACACAGGTCAAATCTTGCCACTGAGACAGACAAGGCACTGACAGACCAGTTGTGCTATAAAGCACTGCACGCCTTCAAGCTGTGACAGGGTAGGGAAGAGAGCTTGATGCGCTAGGATACCTGCTGCAAAATAGGGTAATTCTCTGAAAAGTGACAGCAAGACGATTGGGACCAGAGCCGGTGCAGGGGCCAAGCTGCAGCGACCAATGCCGAGGGAGCCACGCAGCCCAGGAGTGTGCTCCACACAAGCCCCAAGGAGGCGGGTGCGCTCTGCTCTGTCATCTTCCAGGCCCTTGGCTTTCCTGGGGAGCACTGCCCAGGCCCCTGGGGATCCCTGCAGACCAGAGTTCATTGCACCAGAGGCAGCGGGCAGGGGGCCTCAGGAGGCAGTGGAGGAGCAGCGGTGCAGCAGCAGGGTGTGGCAGCTGTCACACACGCGCACCGGCTTCGGGTAGGAGGGCAGGGCCAGCTCGCTGCCGGAGCAGGTGTTGCAGAATATGTGGCCGCAGTTTCGGCAGTGGTGCTAAGGAAAGCAACAGACCCTGAAGACACCTGCCTTGATGCCCATGTCCTGCTCCTGCAGGGACCTTACCGAGTGAGCCTGTGACCTACAGAGCCTGTCCCTTCCTCGCTATGTTCCAGCTGTGACCCAGCATGCTTCCGGCTGCTCCTTGGAGGGGCCAGGAACCTACCCCTGGGCCACCTCTGGGCGTGATGCAGACCACAGCTGAGAGCCCAGGTGGCCTCAGGAGAGTCTTTTCCGGCCTGGACTCCAGCTCCCTCTTCCCCACAGCTGAGCCCCCGTGGTCCCAGGCAGGGTGGTGGCGGGGTGGGACCCCTCAGGTCCCTGCTGCTCCTGGGGCTGTTTGCCCAAGCCCTTTGACCCGACCTCCCGCTTCAGGAACCCAGAGTGGGCCACACCAGCACGTGCAGGCTGGCCCTGCCCGCACCAGTGACTGGCGGCCCATGGAGTCTATTTTTGTAAAAATCGGTCAGACTTTTTTTCGCTGCTCACAGAATGTTCAAAGGTATACTTAGCTATTGCAGCTCTACATGCAAAAGACCTGAAAGGACTGGTGAGGATGAGGGGTCTGGGACTGACCAGCACGCCCGAAAGGCGGCTAGGCCAGAGGGCCAGTTCCGTGGAAAGGCCGTGCACACGACCGTGCCCTTGCCTGGCCAGACAGGGCTTCCCTGAGTTCCCGTGGGGTGACCACCGTGGGGGAGCTGGGCCCTGCATACCTTTCTCCGGGAAATGGAAAACTCCTTTTCACACTGCTTGCAGTGTGTCGCTTCGTCGTCTTTCAGCCAGGTGTGGCCCTGAGGAGGGAGGAGCACCTCAGGCGCCCTTTCGTGCCAGCCCTGACAGCACTCACTAGCCTCCCGGGTGCCCGCACTGTCCTTTCCTGTTGACACCAGGCTGCTCTCCACTGGACGGGCCTCTCAGGACTTGGACGGACGAGGGGCTTCCTCCCACCTTGCCCGTGCCAGGCTTCCTGTGTCCCAACAGCGCTCGCCTGAGGGTGGCCTGCTGGGCCGCAGGGTGGGCTAGCCTCAGACTCCCCTCAAACCCCTTTGGCTGAGCCCTCCAGGTCACGTCCTGGTGCCTGCAACAGCAGATGTGGCCTGAGATGCACCCCGAGAGAGGAGCTGGGCTGGCAGGAGGACCCACCTGAGGCTGGACACCCCGACACCTGGCCCGTTGTGGGGAGACAAGCCACACGCACCCTGGGAGCAGCTTAGCTCCTTCCCCCAGGTAACAGGCTGTGAAAACAGGACGGGGTGGTGGCTGTGTCCAGAGGGCTCAAAGGCCATGTGCCGTCCCAGCTCCTGTAACTTCCTAGGTACTGGCTGGTCCTCAGGGCCCTGGGGCTCCTGCCACAGGCCTGCCTGCTCGGAGGGGTCCGGCCCTCCCCAAACACTCGAGAAATCTGGCCCAGCTCCGCACTTGGCTCGCTGAGATGCGCTTGCTGGAGGGAAGGCAACTCTGACTTAGGGAGATCATCTCAAAATAAAACACAAAACCGAGTTCAATCCCCGGTACCAAAAGAAAGGGCTGGAGACGCAGCTCAGTGCAGAGGCCCTGGGTTCATCCCCTTGGGTGTGAGGGAAACATTTATGCTAAGAACAGTAATCTGATGATACCTTCAGGGCCTTGTTTACTTCCTTTATGTCTTCCATCTTCAGCTTGGACCTAGAAAACGAAGAAGAGAAAGACCATTTCACAGCACTGAGGTTTTAAAACTGCCACACAGCTGACAGCAGCAACTGCGTGGCCCTGTGAGGACCAGAGCTAGGAGGACGACTGTCACCTGCGTCACCCAGAGCTGCCTCATCACACTGGCTCAGGTCTGCCGGGCCAGGGCTGAACCACCCAGGAAGACTGTTCAGCCTCACGGGTTAAGTAAGAAAGGGCTGACGCTGAGCAGGTCTTAGGAGCTCGGCTTCTCCAGGCGGCACTCACTGCTGCCCGGGCTGTGTGCTTGCTGCGGGCAGGCTTCCTGCTCCGCTCTGCTCCTGCATCTGCAGGCCTCCCCTGCACAGCCTCCTGTCGGGGCTCCAAGGGTGTGAGTGCACATGCCCTCGGTCCAGTCATCCTCCAAGGAGCGGCCACAGGAGAGGGACGTGGCGTCATTGGCGGAACTAACTCAAATGCAATTTGAGTTGAACAGCTGGAGCCTTTCTTAACCAGAGATTAGTCTAAACTGACATTACATTTTTTTTTTTTTGGGTAGCGGGGATCGAACTTAGGACCTTGCACTTACGAGGGAGCCATGGTGCCACTGCACTAAATCCCGGCCCTAAACTGACATTAGATAGGCCAGAGCGCTGAGGGGGGATTAGAAAACTTGGCCTTGGGTTCTCCTGACGCCCAGGCAGGCATTTCTTCCTCTCTGACCTGCTGAGGACAGGCCAGCAGGCCGAAGGGACAGCACGGGCTGCAGCCGAGACACAGGCCTCTCACCCAGGGGTGGCCAAGCCACAGAAACCGAAAACTCTCTGTGCCTGCCGGAGGGGTCCTGCCAGCCACCTGGGCCTGAAGAGGGCAACGCGGAGGAACCCACACGCCCAGCGGCGAGGGGCGGCGAGGGGCGGCAAGGGGCGGCGAGGGTCAGCCACGGTGCGGGGATGGCTTGGGGGTCGGAGGCCGTTGGCCTTTTCCAGGCCTGCAGCTGCCGGGACCACAAGCTGAGGAGCAGCAGCCCTCAGGCTCCAAGTCCGGCCTGTAGGCCTCCCTCTGCCCCAGAAAGGCTGGCTGGGCGTGTGGGCACAGCAGCCTTGCCTTCTGCTCTGGCCCAGCAACCAGCCCTCAGGCAGTGGATCCAGGGTCCTGGTCACTGCAGAAGTGGGTTCCCGAGGAAGGAGCCACCTAGTGACGGGTTCACATCCAGGGCTCGGTGACACTTCAGGCCAGGAAGCAGGGGGAGGAGGTCCCAGCCCCCAGCCCTCAGCCCTGAGGGAGGCACAGGGCAGGGCTGCTTACTGGCTGAGATGCAGACCCATTTCCTGGAGGGCTTGTTCCTGCTCATCACAGACCTTCTGTAACTCTGTCTTCTCCTCCTGGAGCTCCAGCAGCTCCTAAAATGGACAAAGCAGATATCTGACACAGAATCAGTTTCATTTGCTTGTTTAAGTTTCTGATACAGGGTCTCTAGCCCAGGCTGGCCCTGACCTTGAGGCAATCCTCCTGCCTCAGCCTCCAAGTACTGGGATTAATTACAGACCAGGTGTGCGCCACACCTGGCTTATTTTTATTTTTTAAAGTTTTAGTGATCAGAGCAACACGCAAATCAATGTTTTACAAAAGCAAAACGTGGTTTTGTTGTAATAATGTCATCTTCATTTGTAGATTACTTCTCACCAGCTCAATACCAAAAACGGGCAGTGGAGGCAGCAGCCCAGCAGCTCTGGGCTGGGGCCAGGGAGCAGCTGCTCATCAGGCTTGGTGAACAGCCCACAGGGCAGCAAGGCTGTGCGGCCCACGCCTCTACTGAAGACAGATGTTCCACACAAGTGGCTCCCGGGGACACCGGCCAGGCTGTACACAAAACTCCACGGAGGCCACTCTCATGGGAGGGGAAAAGCTGTCTTCTGGGAAGGGCTTACCCAGGACAGTGACGACCTGGGGCTGAGGGTGGCCGGCCTGGGAGCCTGCTGAGCAGGTGAGGGGCTGCGAGGGAGGGAGGCTCACTGGGGACGCGGCTGTCCTCGGCCCGGCAAGGTGCTGGAGGCCTGGAAGTGACTCGGGTGTCCGCCAGCTCCTGTGCTCACCGCTGCTAGGGGCACGCACAGGCACCTGTGGTCTCACTGGCGGTGCTCGGCCCCTTCACTGTTTCCTCCACGTGGGGACACAAGGGGGAATCCAAATATAGGCTGCAGTCTTGCCGCAGAACAGAGGGGATGTCCCAGGGCATGCATCCTCTCCCCGGCCGGCCTTGCACTTCTCCAGCGTGGCCTGGCCTTGAGGAACTCTCCCTTCCCCAGCGACTCCAGGCCTTTCCAACAGCAACAAGAGCTGCTCGGCTTGGCTTCCATGCATAGCACCTCACCTAGTAGGGTCCTCCTGCCCCACCCCAGGAACTGTCCCTGGGAAGGGTGCTGAGGGTAGCCTGGGCTTGGTCAGCGGGCTGTGCCAGCCCTGTCCGGGGCAGTGGAAGGTACTGGTGATGTCTCGAGGGCATTTCCTGGGAGGGCTGACTACACACACCTCTCCCTGAAGCCATGGGATCTGGGCTTTGTCTTCAGTGCTGTCCCAGAGGACATCACCGGGGCAACACCGGGAAGAATGGAGGCCTGTGGCCCGGTCAGCTCTGGGGAGAAAGCGTGCCTGGGATTTGCTCAGAAGTGTTGCCTGCTATTCTGGCTCCTCCAAGCGGAGCCTGCAGCCGCTGTCACAGGTCTGTGTTCAGGGCCTGCTCCTCCCTAGCGCCTCTGCTTGGTGCCACCCCTCAGACTCCGAGTCCATTCTACTCTTTCTGCAGCGCTCACTAAGTTCCCCTGGAGGCTGAGTGGCTCCGTCTGTCTCCGCCTTCGCCTCCTGGGACAATGTCCCATGGGTGCCCAGAGCGGGGGGGGGGGGGGGGGCAGCACCACCCAGGGAGGAGCCTGCAGGGAGGCGGAGACGCTGGTGCTGCCCCTCCCAAGCAGCCGGCTTACCTTCTTTAGTCCTTGGACTTGTTGTAGCTCTGTCCGCAGCAGAGAGGAGGTGTCCTTCTCATGCTGTAATTCTTGCTGAAGAGCTTGTCTCTGCTCTTTTTCTGATTTCAGCTCTTTCTCTAAACTTGAACTGTTTTCCCAAAATGAACTGGATTCAGTCTCAATGGGAGATTTTCACGGAGGACCCACAATCCACAATCTACCACCCAAGGCACAGGGGAAACCATCTGAATGGTCCCCGAGAGCCTGCAGCAGGTGGTGAGAGGATGCCCTTCCTGCCCGCCGTGAGGAAGGCTAGGACCACAGGCTGACGGGGGAAGGCAGGCTCTGAGGGCAGCATGCAGGGCAAGACGGGTCCTGCTCTGCCCAGCCATCACCGGCCCACAGCGTGGGACTCAGGCGGCTCGAGGCAGGGCAGGAAGCCACCCGCTGGGTGAGGCTGGGCTCCTCCCTCCCTCCCCACCCACACCTGCTTCCTTAGGTCTTCTCTCAGCACAGCACTCTCCCCCTAACTCCTGCCCGCGCAGCTCGGCCCTCTCCTACCATTGCTCATGCAGCTGGGACAGCTGCAGCTGCAGGGCGCTGACCCTCCCACCGAGCTCCTGCTGCAGCTTGTGGCTTCGCTCCTCGGCTCCCTGCCTCGCCCTTTCCGAGTGCTGTAACCTAGAAGCGACAGGGCCGAGCACACCATGGAGCCCACCTTTGTAAGGGAAGGGTCAGCTCTTACAATTAAAAGTGACTCCTGTGTGTGTGTGTAGCTCCCTCCAGTTCTTGTTTGCCTTCTTTCTGCAGCGCTGGCGATTGATCCTTGGCTTCATGCATGCTAGCCAAGAGCTTTCACTGAGCCACACCCCAGTTCCACGAGGCATATTAGCGCAGGCACCCTTGATGCTCCTCAATCAGAAACAGACGGCTCCTCCAGCCCAACTCCTGAATGTGCCCTGCCAGTCAGCACCCCCAGCGCACACGCACTTGTTCTGGGACACTCTGGCTCTTCTATGAGCAAGTCCCATTCATGGAATTATGCTTTACAGAACCTTTGAGCCTGGCTTATTTCTCTCAGAATAACGTCTGTGGCATCAGCCCTTGTGTCTGACTACAGCTCCCTCTTTTCAGTGGCTGAGTTGGATCTGGTGGCATGGACGTACTGCAGTATGCCCACTCACCCAACAAGGATGTGCACTGATCTAGTTTTTGGCAGTTACGAATGCAGCTGCTATGATTATCTGTGTACTTTCTTTCTTTCTTTTGGTACCGGGGATCAAACTTGGGACCTTGCGCTTGCGAGGCCGGCAGTGGAACCTATTAACTAAATCCCAGGCCCCAAGAGCTCTTTTTTGAGACGGGGCCTTGCTATGCAGTTCAGGATGACCTAGAACTCACTAAGTAGCTGAGGGTGGCCTTGAACTTGCAGTGATCCTCCTGCCTCAGCCTCCTGAGTGCTGGGATTATAGGAGTGCGCCACCATGCCCGGCAAGAGTTCTTTACATATCCTGGATACACGTTGTTAGACATACAACCTGTCAGACATGGGATGTGCACATTTTCCCCAAATCATAACTTACTCGATTTTTTTTGCGGGGGTACGGGGGATAGAACTCAGGTCCTTGCGCTTGCAAGGCAAGCGTCTTCTTACTCTCTTAACTGTGTCTTCCATAGAATACTATTGTTTTGGAACTGGAGTTTGAAAAAAGATTTTTTTTTTTTTTTTTTTGGTACCAGGGATCGGACTTCGGATCTTGTGCTTTCGAGGCAGGTGGCAGCACCACTGAGCTAAATCTCAGCAGGTTTGCCGAATGTCTAGTCGTTCCAACATCCTCCTGAAAGACTGCAGTTCCCTCCTCTGAACTGCACTGACAACTTTGTCAAAACTACCTGGCAATGTCTGTGTTGGTCTATTTCTATTTCTGGACTCTATTCTGATCCACTGCTGACCTGGTTATTTTTTGTTCTATCTTTTTTGGGATGGAGTCTCACTATGTAGTCTGGGCTGGCTTTGACCTTGAAGCCCCCTGGCTACAGCCTCCCAACTACTGGCATTCCTGGTGTGCGCCACCACCTCGAACGGGCCTCATGTGGACTTGAGGCACGAGAAGTACTCGCTGCCTGGTCCTAGTCCCTCGAGGGCGGCCTGACACAGTGGCCCTTGGCTGTGAGCAGAGCGCGCAGTGGGACAGAGCTGCCGCCCCACTGGCCCAGCATCCCCAAGAGGGACTCGGCAGGTTTCAGGCCCAGAAGTGCCCACTCTCCTAGCTGTCAAGGAAGTGATTACCGCTCTTCCATCTGCTTCATGGTGGACAGAACTTGATTGGTTTTTCCTTCAAAAGATGCGATGGCTTCGTTCTTCTGCTGTAAACTGCTCTCTGCGTTCTACAAAAGCAACGAAAGGGGTTGACACGCTGCCCCCAACCTGCTGTGCATCATGAAGGGGTACAACTGCTGCCCTTGTGCTCTCAGCACTCAGGGGGCTTCGGTACTCGCTGCTCTTTCTGAGTTCTGGAGGATGAGTGGGGAGATGCCCAGCTCTGCGGCGGAGCCACACAGGCACTGGGGCTGCTGCAGATGCAGGTGGACTCCAGCCTAGTGCCCTCCTGCGCTGACCCCACTGAGCACACAGCTGTGCAGTGCCCTCAGGGACAGCCCACTTCTGGCAGGGCACAGGCTCCCAGAGAGAAGCGACTGAGCAAATGAGGGGTGGGGATCCCCCACACCTGGTGAGTTCTCAGTCCAGGTTTTTAACCTGACAGACAAAACAGATGCTGACTGCCCAGGGGGGACAGACAAGAGACACCCCAAGCCTGGCACAGGCAGGCTGAACACACAGGGAGTTTTCACAAGTCTGAAGAATATCTACTACAAACAGAATAACAACAGATAAGTACCACAAACACATCACATCTGTACAGTAAGCAGCATATTACTAAAGACTGCTGAGCTGAAAAAAACAAAACATGGGCGTGGTGGCACACGCCTGTCATCACAGCCCTCAGGAGGCTGAGGCAGGAGGACTGCCATGAGTTCGAGGCAGGCCTGGGCTATATAGTGAGACCCTGTCTCAAACAAAAAAACCAAAACAACAAAAACAAAACAAAGCAACTACAAAATACCAAGCTAAAAAAAGACCAATGATGGGCCGAGGATTTAACTCGGTTGTTCTGCCACCTGCCTCAAAAGCGCAAGATGCCGAGTTCAATCCCTGGCACCAAAAAAAACCCCACTGTAGGCACAGCTGAGGTATGTATGTCTGCGTGTATGTATGCGTGTGTGTGCACACGCACCTATTTTCACAGGTGAGTATGTTTCTTAGGGTACTGGGGATCAAACCCAGGGCCTTACACATGTCAGGCCAGCTCTCTAAACTAAGCTACCCCTTCATCTTCCTAAACTAGTTTCTGTAATTGTTAACTTTAAATGAATTGTTCCTGTATGAAAAAGAAAAGAAAAAAAGTGAATAAGCATCCAGCCAGAAGGTGAAGATGAGCTGCCGAGCAGAGCCAAGGTGAGGACAGTCTGGGAGGGCGCACAGGCCTGCGGGCACGGCCGACAGTTCAGCACGGTGCCCACACGGGCTGTGAGTGGTCAGTGCAGATGTGCAGTGAGGGGCAAGGCCACAAGCCCACCCTCACTTCTGTTCTTTTGAGACAGGGCCTCACTATGTAGCCCAGGCTGGCCTGGAGCTCTCGGTGGTCCTCCTGCCTCAGCCTCCCCAGTGGTGGGATCACAGGTGGGCGCCCACGCCCGGCCTGCCCTCACTCTGACACCGCCATCTACTTCTGCAGCTCGAGCCGAGCAGTCTGAGAACGGTGTGGAGAGACTGAGGTGGGATGCTGCTCAGCAAGCAAGGGGTGCGCAGACAGCGTGGGGCCACTGAGGCTCCTCATGGCCTCGGGGAACAGCTCTGCTTACACCCTGACCTTGGACCGGTCTCTTAAGACACCCAGCTGCTGGGGCCTTGTTACAGCCACCCTAGCAACCTACTGCAGCCTGCCACCACTAACACAAAGCCACGGGCAGTAAACGACGGCCCTCTGACAGGAGGGGCCTCAGAGAGGGCTCCGATTTTCCAGACCCTCAGTACAGGATAGAGGCAGCGCCACGTGCCAGTGAGGAAGGACGGATCAGCTCGTCGTGACTTGCTATATGCAGAATAATGAAACTGGGGCCCTAAGTAAGCCCATAGCAAAGGCAAACTTCAGAGGTATTAAAAACGTATAGGCCCGGGCTGGGTGTGGCTCAATGGCACAGCACTTGCTCAGCATACCCAAGGCCCTGGACTCAGTCCCCAGCACTGCAATTTAAAAAGCACAGAACATCTTTACACCTGAGGAAAGGCACCTGAAACAAAACCCCAAACTCAGACCATCATCTGAAAAGTCAACACAACTAGCTACAACAAAGATAAGGATTTAAGGTTACTAGAGGACAGATGGGAGAAGATACCTACGATATGTAAGCCAGTGAGTGACTGAAGCCTAGACTGTGTGTGGAATGGCTGCTAATCAACAAGGAAGACAAAGGAAACCCAAGAAATAAATGGATAAAAAGTGGGAGCAGGCGATTCCCAGAGAGGGCTAACAGCAGGTGAAGGGCTCCCTGACTGGACTGAGGACACAGCAGCCCGTGTGCTCTCTCACGCAGTGGTGCCGCCCGCCCGCCCGCCCGGTGCACCTGGGGGACGGAGCCCCACCCGGAGGTAAGTGCCAGGAGTGACGGAGCTGCAGAGGGCAGTAAGAGGCCCAGGGAGACGGCGGCCTCACGCCACTCTTGTAAAATCAAGACTTCTCGGACTCAGAATGAACATTACGAACAGAGAGACAACATGCTGGATCATTACACACAGTGTACATGCAATGAAATATCACACTATCCCCATAAATATGTTCAATTACTGCGTGTCAACAAAAAAATTTAAAAGTATATACTCAAAAAGAAAAAAAAAAGCTTAAGATGCTGGCCCATGGGGAAGAGGATGGAAGGAGGGAAAGGGATAAAAAGAAATAAACGAGAGGTATTTTTATCTCCATGTGCTTCACAACAAGGTTCTGATGGATTCAATCCTGTACTTTGGAAGCCCAAAGAAGAAGAGAGTGTGTGAAGTGAAAACCAGCTACCAGGATGCTAGCAGGAGCAGGGAGTGACGGATCACCCTGGGTTCCATCCCCAGCACCACAAATACAAAACAAACAAAAGACACCCTCCGAATCCCCCAATACTTCCACTGATTATGTAATAGCTTTTTTTGGGGGGGGGGGGTCCGGGGATCGAACTCCCTTGCGCTGTGAGGCAGGCGGCGGAACCACTGAGCTAAATCCCCGGCCCCACAATTAGTTTCTTAGCACTGTTTTCTTTATCTTAGTCATTAGTACTGTCTACATTATCGTGGTACTTAGTACTGTCACACTGCCTTAGTACTATGTACATTACCTTAGTACTTAGTACTGTCACATTAGTTTGTTTTTTTTTCTTTTTGTGCCGGGGATCGAACTCGGGACCTTGCGCTTGCGAGGCAGGTGCCGGAACCACTGAGCTAAATCCCCGGGCCAATCACACTATTTTTGTTTTGGAACTGGGGATCGAACTCAGGCCCTGGCGGGTGTGAGGCAGGCAGCGGCACCACTGAGCTAAATCCCGCCCCTTGTCACATTATTTTTGACACAAATGTTACTGGAAGTAAGAGTAAAACCATGTCCATGGGAAATGAACTATGTCTACTTTGGCAATGAAATAGGAAATAATACTTTAAAAAAATGTTTTGAGGAGGACACAGAATGGTGCCCTTCTGGGTAGCTTCTGAGAAAGAAAACTTAGAATTTTTACATGCTGTTTTTCAAACTTGAGTCTTCCTGGGCCCACTTCCCTGGACCACCTGGAAGTGACACAGGACAGGCAAACAGTCAGCTGTGTGGCCCTGAGACCCAGCCAGATGAACGGCGCGCAAATATGGGAAGACAACCCTACATGCTGCCCTCTCCCCTCCATTCTCTGGTACACAGTTACTCACTGAAATAGAAGACCACAGGCAGCAGGGGCCTGGTTCAGGCTTGGTTTACAAAGGTGGGTGGCCGGCCAACTTTGGGCTGTCCTTACCAGCTGTGCCACCAGGGGTGCGTGACTGAGCCCCTGTCCTGTCTTGCCCTGCCTCTCTCCCTCCACTTCTCGGCTACCGCTGTACTCATAACTGCAGCTGCAGACTCGGACTTAGGACCAGGCTGACACTAGGCCGCGATGCGCCACAGAGCCGAGCCCCACCTGGGCTTTGTGGAACATCTGCAGATTAATCGCCTTGACCTCCTCCAGCTGCTGCCGCAGGGCCACCAGGGTGTCCTGTTTCTCATGGGTGTCCTTCTCCAGCAGCTTCATGGCGATCTCCATTTCAGTTTTCATTCCAATTTGTAACTCCAGTTCTTTTTCCAGTTCCTTTAAAAGATATTTGCAAGGAAAAGCTGATAAAGTAGACTTCAGATACATATTCAACTGTGTTGCATCCTGGGCCATGACTGAAGGACACTTGGCAAGGGAGGACAGGTTTGGGAGACCGGACGGTCCCAGCCTCACCAGGGCAGGTTTTCTCCCTCCTGTTCCTCATCCCTCAATTACACTGGGCTCCACATCAAGCCAACAGAAAGCAGCTCTGGCAACATAAGCTGGGAGGGCAGCACCCATTCCCCTCCCAGGCCAGGCCTACTCTGCGCTTGAGTGCCGGGAGGGTCATTCTGCAACGGTGCTGTTTGTCCCCAACAACGCAGGACACATTGCTCCACAGTCACTCAAAGAAGCAAAGGAATGAAGCAAGCTAAAGAACTGGGCTTAGAAAAGAACTTGGGTTGCTGACACACAGACTTCGTGGCAACAGGCCAGAGGTTACGCCTGAGAGAACAGTCCTGTCAAAGACACTACGAGTCAGTTTCATAGCACCTCTGAAAAAGGTTTATAAAATGGGAACAAAATGTAAGTGACAATGCAGAAGTGCACTATGAATGGGACTTCCGGTGAGTGTCTGCGGCCTCACGCACACGCTGCTCCTGCTCGCAGGGCGGCCGGGACCCTCGGGGACACTCACCCGCCGCACTTTCTCCTCCTCCTTCAGCTGCTTCCACACATCGCTGTACATCTCGTCCAGACCTTGCCGGGTCTGCTTGTAAGTCTCCAGCTCAACTCTGGTGTCCTGTTTGGTTATCTATGAGAAACAAGAACACCAGGCAGACAGCAAACTAGGTACAAAGTACGGTATTTAAAAATATGCAACAATTCTGAAAATGTAAGATAATTTCTACCTTTTAAGCATGACAGGGGAAGTTTAAAATTTGAGAGAGATTGTAGCTTGAAGATAACAGAGTAAGCCGAGAGAGTTTGGGAAGAAAGGTTAGGTTTGTGCAGCAATTTAATTTTCTTTGCAACAGGACAGCAGTTCCTAGCAGGGAGCGCTCTCACTCAACCCGCCGCTCTGCCTCGTCATGCTGAGCACGCTGGACGCAAAGCTATGGGATGTGGGAGAAGGGAGGACGCAGAAGGAGGAGGGCCCCGAGAGTGACCCCTCCAGGCCCTCTGCCATTCCAGGCCGGCCCTTCCTATCTGCAGACCGAATGTCTGACCTGCAGCTTTCTTCCTTGCCACCACTCTAAGCAACAGAGCACATGCTCGGTTCACAGCCTCCGTGTGACGTCTGGTGTCTCGGGCAGCCGGGAGAGGACTGCGGGTCTGGAGGGCATGCCCAGGCCTCTGGGACACTGCGCGGCTGCACGCCCGCCTGCCCGCCCGCAACGGAGGAGCGGCTGGCTGGGACCGCGAGCCTGGGGAGGGCAGATGCCCAGCGAGGACTCCCTGGGCGCCCGGTCTCACCTCCACACTCTTCTCACTTCTCTCTCGAATTAGTTCATTCTGTTCTCTTAATTGCTGCTGTTCTTCTTGAAGTGAACAGATCCGGTCTGTTGCAGCTGAAAGCTGATTAAGAAAGGCTTCTACATTTCTTATCATCAACATTAATCTCACCATTCAAATGAAATACAAACTACATGGCATCAAGACGGTTTGTTACCTATCTTCACGTCTGATAATTTATTTTGTTTTCTTACTTTGAATAGGGAAAGCCTAGTCCAAGAGCCGTATGCATCAAAATCTCTCTCGCATCCCCCTGACCCTTGCCATCTCTGCCCGCCCTGGAATCTCTCCCCTTTACTAACACAGTAACGCACTACTCCACATGGGCAATGGTTCAGGGACACAAAAAACTTAGAAACAGCCAGGCGTGGTGGTGCACGCATGCAATCTCAGCACTTGGGAAGCTGAGGCAGGAGGAGGAGAGCTGAGAGTCCAGGAGTCTGAGGGCAGCCTGGGCTGCACAGCGAGATCCTGTCTCAAAAAACCAAACCAAACCAAAACCAAAACCAAGAAACAGAAACTGCCTGAATGTCCGTTATTAGAGAGATGGTTCCACAGATTGCAGTGAAGGCACAAAACAGAAGCATGTAATTATTGAAATGTTTACAAAAACCTTTGGTGACATGAGAACATACTTATGATATAATACCAATGAAGGGAAAAAGCAGGTTATATGGCGTGCTGTCATCTACAATTTAAAAACAGTCAACTGGATTGAAAATAGTTAAGAAAAGAGGGGGACTAACTATACAGATGACAGAAAAGCTGTCACTTAGCAAAAGGATCGTGGGCTTTTCTCGACCGGCCATTTTTCAGCTTTTTTTGATGATGAAAAGTATTTTTATCAATAGAGGGAGAATGAAAGAAGGAACGGAACACAGATCATCGGAGAGCAGGCCGAGCAGAAGCCCCCTCTCCCGCATGTGTCATCGTGGCTAAGGGAAGGGAGACCAAGCTTGATGCTTCAGGGAGCTGCCTATGGGGGAACAGACACGGCAGCCAGGCCCCCACTTCTACCTCAGTACGGGGCCTGCAGAGACAGGGGAGGCGGAGAGGAGCCAGACCCCTTCGGCCTCAGAACCTGGCCTGCTCTTGGGGCATCCTCCCAGGGACCAAGGGACCAGGAGGCGTTCAAGGCCTCTCCTCTTGTGCCAACAGGATCTAAAGCCATCAGAATGACCTTCCTTCCACACACTGGAACCGCATGGGGTTACGAAGCAGCTGCCTCAAAGGTGGTATGAGTTTTCAGAAAGGAAGCAGGCCAAGCCCCCAGGGACTGTCTGCTGCCCTCCTGAAGACAGGCAGGAGGCTGTGAGGGGAGGAGCACTTTCTCTGAGCTATTTCTCCTACAATTTTTAGTCTAAAGAAAGCCCCACTGTCCGGCTTCACAGTGAAACCAGACCTTCAGTCAAAGCCTTGCCACCTGGTCTGAGAGAACAAAGGATAAATCAGCCACCTCCCGCCCAGCCCTCTCAAGGGCTGCCTCAGGTACATTCACGTGATGTGAATGATTGCACTTCACAGCACCGTGAAGTGCAGTGCGCCATCACCTAATGTGGAGCAGAGGGTGAGGCTCAGAGGCCCACGCGCCCACCCACCAGGGTGAATGCCAGCCCTGCAGGCCACATTCAAGGGTGCCTCCCTCTCTGGGGCGGCCCTCAGTAGCTCCACGTCTTCTACTGACAGATCTGAGCTGCTCCCTGGAGAGTCGCCTCAGGAGAGAAGTCAGGCTGAAGTGTGCCTTAAAGAGGGCCCTTTGGCACAAAGGTTTGCTTTCGACTTTCCTCTCAGGCTGTCTCCTGTCTCCATGCTCTAGGGTGATCCCAAAGCCCTTGTTCTCCACAACGCAACTGGGTGAGGAGCCTGTAGAAAGCCTCAGAAATGCTGAGCACCCTCCTCTTGCTAATGGGAGGCAGGATGTGTCCACCCAAGAGACTGCCAGGCAGCTGGCAGCCAGCTGTCCTCCTTGGGCTCAGCCCTCCTTCTTCCTGTCTTCTCACCTCTTCCCTGTGAGAAAGCAGAGAAGGAGCAGGCTGTGGGGAGACTGGTCCGTGCTCCTGAGCCGCCAAAATGCAAGGGGTGGGTCAGATGCCTCGTCACAGGGCCTGGCCTTCGGAGGTGGCAGGGAGGCACAGAACACCGCGAAGAAAATGGAAAAAGAGGAAGAAGATGCATTTCCACAGGAGAAGCTGGGCTGTTCCAACGAGGAGCAACTCTGAGGTGATGGAACCTGCCCGACACTGGCTCCTGACCAGCTGTGCTGTCTCACCAGGAGCAACCTTTCTGGCAGCCAGCAGCTGTGGTCACATTACCAGCTACACCATTTCCCTTAACCTCGGGTCCCTCTGTTTTGGTTAAGAATTTCAATTTACAAACCTCTTCTTGAAGCTTTGAATTCATCTTTTCCAAGCCATCTATCTTGGTCTGAAGATCCCCAACTGTACAGCTATAGAAAATAAAGACATTAGGTAAACCTGAACTTATAAAAGCTGATTATTTCTATAACCAATGAACTATGAGAAGAGAGATTCCTCTATTTTCTGAATGGACTTGAAAAGCAAAGGATATCCGATTACCTCCAAGTAGATGAGAACTCTTAAGTACATGTGTGTACATGTATTTTGATAAGTTCGCAATAAATTTGATCCCTAAAATATGTTAAACAATCCTAGTTTAGCCAATTTGAAAGAAGACATTTTCCCTTCCATCTGGTAGATGGGAACCAGAATGTGCTGGCATTCATGCATCTAACGTAATAGTCACAAGATGCTGGTACCTTTGTACGGTAGAATCTAAGGTGATTTTTTTGGCCTTTTTATACTTTCAGTTTTAAAATATTCCTTAAAAAGTGCTACTTTTATACAGAAAAACATAAAAAGCTAATGTAATAAATTAAAAAAATAAGGAAATGGGCTGGGGATTTAGCTCAGTGGTTTCGCCGCCTGCTGTGCAAGCGCAAGGACCCGAGTTCGGTCCCCGGTGCCAAAAAAAAAAAAAAAAAAGAGAAATAATAGACTTGATAATTGATAATCCCACAATAGCAGCAGCCACACGGCATGGACCCTGGGCCAGGCCGTTTGATCTGAGCACTTTAAATGCATCAGCTCATGTAACCCTCACCACAGTGTGAAGCGGCAGACCCTTACTGTCTTTTACAGATGATGAAACCCTAACTGGTAATTTTACTCACTCAAGCTCATGCATCCCCCCAATCTTTTCTTTGGGCTTTTGAGTCAGAGTCTCACTCTGTAATTCAAGCTGGGCTTGAATTCACTCTGTAGCCCAGGGTAGCCTCAAACTTGCTGCAATCCTGCCTCAGCTTCCAGAGTGCTCGGGTTACAGGTGTGTGCCGCCATACTCAGCCCCTCTTGTTGTGCTGGGATTAAACTCAGGGCCTCAAGCATGCTAAGCAGGTGGGCTACCACTGAACTGCACCCCCAGCCTCTTCTTTAGTTTTTAGATTATGCTTTTTTTTGGAGAAAGGGTCTCACTGTGTAATTGAGGCTGGCCTTGAGCTCACCATGTAGCCCAGGCTGGCCTCGAACTTGCAGTGATCCTCCTGCCTCAGCCTTCCAAGTGCTGGGATTACAGGCTTGTCCCACCACACCTGGCTAGTTTTTAAACTTTATTTTATTCTTAATTTTGATTTCACCTCCCTTTTATTCTTTTCAAGTTCATACATCTATGAAGGACTGCAAGTATCCAAACCCAGGCGCTCTGGCTCCAGGGCCTGTGATTCAGGCAACGCATCATACTGTCTCTCTGCCGGGAGGAAATAAACCTGGGAAAGTTGATGAATCACGGTTCAGGCATTGGGTGGGAAAACATAACACACAAAATGAAAAAGGGAGGCCAGGGATGCAGCTCAGTGGCACAGCTCCCAGGGCTGCAGAGAAAACCTGGGCAAGCCAGGGAGGATGGGGGATTAAGGTCAGTGATGCGCCGGTCCCTGTGTGCGTGCGGCTCACTCAGAATGCATCACTTACCCAAGGATAGGGAGTCCCGACTGCCTGGGTGGGTGCTGAGAGGCATCTGCCAGAATGCAGAGTCTGCTCCTTATAAAAACTCGCAAGTCGGAAAATGATCCAGGGTCTCTTTCTCAAAAACAGCCACCCAGCCCACTGTCACCACTCCTGTTCAATATAGTTCTGGAAACATTAGCCACAGCAATTAGAAAAGAGAAAGAAATAAAAAGAATAAAGAAAGGAAAGGAAGAAATGAAACTGTCATTATTTGCTGATGATACGATACTTTACATAGAAGATCCAAAAAACTCGGTCAAAAGCCTTCTAGACCTAATTGACAGATTCAGTAGAGAAAACAAGGTCAACACTCAAAAAACAATAGCCTTCTTACAAGCAAATAGCAGACCCATTGAGAGAGAAATCAGGGAGACAATTCCTTTTACAATAGCATCTAAAAAAATGAAACATCTAGGAATCAACCTAACAAAGGAAGCAAAAGACCTCTACACTGAAAACTACAGCACCCTGAGAAAGGAGATCAAGAGGATATAAGAAAATGGAAAGACATCCCTTGCTCCTGGGTAGGAAGAACCAATATAGTGAAAATGGCCATACTTCCAAAACTACTATATAGAT